AACGTTTCTGGGGGACGAATTAAAAAGACACGCAAATTTTTGGCGGAAAAAAGCGCTATTCGGAGAAGGTAAAAGCCAAATTTTAACAATTTGAATTTTCTTTTTACGTTGCATTTTGCCGCTACCATGTACACTTTTTCTTACTCATTTTTTGTAATGAAAAATTAGAGAATGGATGGTTATTACTTTTTTCAATTCACCACAAATAAAATTTATCATAGTTTCAATATTAAAATATGAAATTAATTTCGTATATAACTGATAGACCCAATATTCAACCAACATCACACAACCGTCACAAACCATTTTTAGGTGATCACAAGGAGAATAATGATAAAATCATATATATGTGTAAGTTAATGGTGTTGGTATCTACTATTGGTTAAAACATTGGGTTTGGGTGCTCTCCCCTCCAAAATAACCCCATCAAACCAAATTACATCCATGGAATGGTTTCTTAAAGCTAAACCCATGTGGATGGCGATTTTTATTTGCTTACCTCCAACCAAATGATGTATTAACACATCATCACCTGCCATTTTCCATGTGTACGAATTATTATGAGCAATTAGTTGATGGATGGTAATGGACCCCTTACCTGTACTATTCTTCACTCAAACCACCAATCATCAAACTTATCCAACCCTTTTAACTTGGATAAGAGGTGGAGAAAGATGGATGTGTCAACACCAACGTGGCCTTAGGCAAAAATGAGGTGGAAATTCTACCGCCCACCATTTACCACATACACATGAATTAAAAAGATCACTTTCCCATGCCTCCACATACAAAAGGCAAGGTGGATGGGTGTGTTATTTACTCTCAATTAGTTGGAATTTAGCAAGAGAGTTGGCCACAAAAAGAATCTCAATTCATCACTACCTACACTACTACACGTGCCCTGATGAGAAGAGATGTGGAGCAGTCAATTTTGATTATTGCCATCACAATAACATTTCCCCATCTTCCACATACTTATATACATGGCTTCTAGAGATTAATTAATGCTGGAGTTTTACAATCTTTTCTCCATTCAAAAAATGCTGCTCTCCCCTTAATTTTCGTCAAGGGTAATGTAGTCATTTTATTCCCTTGATTCCCCCACTTCCCGCCCAAAATCATTAGTGCAACTACGCCATAATACTAATAATAGACAGTTTCCAGGCCTCCTCATTCAGCCTTATCTTAGGCCCATTAATAAAGCCCATTTAAATAGTATCTCGGCTTATTATCGCATAAGGGGAATCGTCAAACAGGCGGTGGTTTCCGACCGGTGGGCATCAGCGGAGCGGCCAAGCTGGAGAGAAGTTCGGACAACAACGACCAACGACACCAGGTGTTATTATCTTCAAGCAAATTACAGCCTTCAGCGGATCAGCCATGCTGAAGAGAATTTCGGACTGGACGACGGCGGGAAGAACTCCAACATGACCTGGACAACTGAGCTGCTGCGACGGCGACAAGAAGTTCAGCATTACCTGTGTGTTTCATAATGCTAGGACAACTAAATTCCATATGAATGTGGTCCTAAATTCTAAATCTACTCAAATTAAACAAGTATATATATACATTCAACTATTTTAATTAATCCAAATGGGGTCCTAGGACCCCACTCCCTTCCACCTTCCTCCTACATCGGGCTAAACAAGAAACTATGGTGCATAATTCTTGATAAGAGAGCAATTTCAGAAACCACATCCTAAAATAAAAAGTTTGAATGTAATTCGGACAAAAATAAGGTATTAACCATTTTATAATTTAGTTACAATGTCATGATCCAAATTATATTTAAGAATATTTTATTTCTCTTTTGCAGGTTTTATTAACGAGGAAAGCTAAAACCACTTTGGCAGTTTTATTAAAACAACATTGTATAACTTTCATGGTTTCCATTTCTATCACTAGCTTTGCTTTGTGTACCATTCTTATCATTAGTTGTGAAGTAAATTACCTTAGGGAAATAGCGGTGATTGTGTTCGACAGTTTGTAAAATTATAGATAGATTCGAACGACAACAATATAGGTTAAATTTTGGTTATATATAAATTTTTATTGAGGTTATGAGTTTTCGACGAATTTAAGTGATATGATGAATTGACAATAATTTTCCAACATCTTAAATTCTAAATATTTATTGTAAAAAAAAAAGTAAACCATCTCTTCATGTGTGGTCAACCTTTGTCTCAATTACAATTTACAACCACAATAAGCAAAAGTGATGAATCTTGAATTTTTCGGCCAACGGGCCGACTCCAAGCTAGTTGTAGAAAGACACTAGGTAAATCAATTTATTTTATTTCTAATTTTATTTTGATATGTGTTTGATTGTAGCCATCCACCCATTGCACTCGGGTTGTCTGGGAGGTAACGTATTATTTTTATTTTATTACGAGCACACCATCTACGCCAAAAGCAGGAGGCACTTATAAATAAGACGTTCATAGTGACATGTATATTTGTCACAAATAATGTCAATTGTGGTAATATTTCTGACACAAATACACTTTTCGATGTCTAGTTGTCACAAATAATTACATGCTTGCACTACAAGAAAAAAGAGTTTCAGCTACCATTTTCTTGGCAACCATAGAAAAATGGTTGCTTATAACCAAGTTTCGACAACCATTCACAAAATAGTTGGTAATGCCAAACTCTAGTGCAACCATTAATAAAATAGTCGCTGGTAATGGCCAGTTGATGCCTCAGGAAACCCAAAAATGATGTGTCTAACACAAAACTATTTCTTCATTGCAACTTCCACAATTAGCTAACCCTGAAAATCCACCATCCCCCGTACATTCCATGCACTGCTATTGTAATGTAACCATCTATGTCATCATTCTTGGTGCAGCAATGATAATGCTTAAAGTGTTGGTTGGCAAACCACGTGGTTCTACATCCTCATCAACACTAACGACACAAATCAAACGTACCCCGCGGCAGAGCGCGGCCTAATTCCTAGTATATATCAATAGTCATAAAAGCATAGGATCGTTTACTTTGTATGATTGTATTCCTTGATAATAACAAAATGGATAAGATACAAAACCCACCACTAAAACAACATATCTATAACTATCAGTGTTGTCAAGTCAAAATTGATTATTGTCTATTTTTTTCTCAGTTTATGATAATATCTCAAAATTAAAATTGGAAACATAAGTGGCAGCTAGGGAGTAGAAAGAGAATGTGATGATTTCTTTTCCTTTTTCAAATTTATTATGTACCCAATTTCATTTTCCCGTTGATTTAGTTACTTTTTTTGAACTTTTTAATTGAAGGAAGCATTAAACAGGCGGCGGTTTTTCTTTTCCATTGAAAAAGTAAACAAAAAAATGGACTAAACGCAAACCGCTACTTTCTGCCGTTTTTATGCTTCCGGGACCGGATCAATGTCCGGGTCCGGTTTTTTTCGGGCTAACCGGCCGGTCCGGCCCGGTTTTCACATCATTGATAACTATACATTTTAATCACACCTAATGGTTCAAATTCATTTAAAAAAATATGGCCAGCTCCCCATAAATCCCTTATTTCCCTCTTTACTGTTCCATGATATGGACCATTAGATCTTTCCTTTCCAAATTACAACTATTGGATTAGATTTTGTAGGACTACAAAATCATGGTTTGTACGGTAACCTGCACCATATTAAGGGAATGGATACGGTACAAAATTCACCACTACAATACTCAATCATTTAAAAAAATTCCGTAGAAAGAATACACTTATTATGCACTACACAATTATTAGTCATACAATTATTAGTCATACTGCCACTGGTCATTAAGTATTTTTAAATTCATATAAATCTAACTTCTAACTACAGTAGATTGCTGGAAAATAAGTAGAGTAATACATTCTGTACTTATATTATTGAGTTGAACAAAAGTGGCATGGGGGAGGTTCTGGAGAAAGTCCCCGTAGGCATTTGTTGCCGCAAGCTTATTTTATTTTGTTTCTTACTTCTCAGTAGTCAGCACACACTCCATCTCACCTCAGTCCAATCTTAAGAAGCCCAAAGACCAACAAAAATATAGGCTTGGTCCGCCTCATGGAACAATCTGTGTTTATGTAGTTGAGTATAGTAAAAAGACTGAGAGATCTTTCCGTATTATGCGCTGAGCATGGAAAAATAAAATGGGAGGGGTTTTGGAAGAGAACCTCTTTATAAGTTTGTTAGGATATAAAGGGATGTGCTAGAGTTTTAATTTGAGAAGGAAACTTATTAATTTGTTAAGTAAATAAGAGATAAAATTTGGTGCAACTAAAATCACGGCATATCTTTTCTCCTTCCCAATGTTGTTACACGGTTTAGTTGAAATTTGGGTTCATCTCTTTTTAATTCTTTAATATATTATTTTATTAATTATATATTATAATGATTATTTTTTGCAACACAATTTGGTAAAATGTTGGGTAAACTGTACTCATCTTGATCTTTGTGGGTTCATACGCAACCCTTGTGATTTATGTTGGGTTCACCCTTGATCTTTGTGTATCTGAGGCCAAGTGAGTGGAAGGATTCATGTACCATTCAGTTGCTCAATTTCTGATTTCCTTTGATCAATGTAATTGGTTCTCGAGTTTTTTTTTGTACAGTAATTGGTTCTCGAGTTGAAGTGGAATAAAGGATGACTTTTACTGTAAAAATAAAATAAAAAAAGTTGCTCAATAAAGTAGCGAGGGAACCAAGGTACTTTATCGGGTATGGCAATCCTTTGCTGAGAAGATTAGTAGAACAGAGTCTTGTCTTTTCCAATTCTGTGCGGACGCCAAGGGTTCGTGATTGGCTGTGTTTTTCTGCAGCTCGAGGCGACCAATTTCTTTGTTAAAGAGTTAAATCTTTCATTTTTGCTACCGCTATATATTAATGCTCTTAGGAGTTTTACCCATTCCCTTTCTCTTTGTGGTTCAAATTGATGTAGAGCATATTCTCATATCCGCCAAAATTCTCAAAATCCCCCCCGCTTCCATCCGTGTCTTCACCTGCAATTCTGCAAATGTCGACGTCGAACCCATCTTCTTCGTGGATCGCCCAATTCAAACCGGGCGAGCGGGTCGAGGTCAGCTCAAACGACCCCGGGTTCCGCGGCTCCTGGTTCGCCGGCACCGTCATCCGCCGCGAGGAGAATAACCCTAATCGCTACGTAGTCGAGTACGACCAGCTCTACGAGGACGAATCTGGGGAGAAGCTGCTGCAAGAAACCCTCGATTGGATCCAATTGCGTCCGCCGCCGCCGCCTCCCGAGAAGAAGAAGGTCCAGTTCAAGTTCGGCGACGAAGTGGAGGCCTTCCACAGCAACGGATGGTGGGAAGGGGCTATTATTGCGGAGCACTCCGGCGGGAAATTCGCGGTGTTCCTCAGAGGCTCAAAGGAGCAGATTGTGTTTGAAGAGAAAGATTTGAGGTATGACAATTTTAGGGAATTCTGAATCTGGATCTAGGTGATGAAGTTCACTCAAGGAATGCAAGTCGAGGTGACAACTGACGAGGACGGTTTCAAAGGTTCTTGGTTTGCTGCAACAATTATTGAACCTTCTGGTGAAGACGAGTACCTTATTGAGTACAAAACCCTGACGAATGATGATGATACTGAGTTTCTCAGAGATGACATTCGTGCTTGCAACATAAGGCCTTGTCCGCCGGAGATCATTTTTGTGGATGGATTCAAGGTGATGGATGAAGTAGATGCTTACTACAACGAGGGCTGGTGGGTTGGCGTGATTGCAAAGGTTTTGATCAACTGCAATTACGTGGTTTACTTTAAAGAGTATGATGAGGAGATAACGTTCAAGCATGCTGATTTGAGGACACATCAGGACTGGTTAAACGGCAAATGGGTTGTTCCTTCAGAGGTCTGAATTTTATGCTCTCAATTCTCAAAACACTACTAGCTTTTCTAGTAAATGATATTAGTTGTAGGGGCCTGCACTCAATGCATCTCTTTCTATTGTGTTTCTTTTCTATGGGATTAATGTTGGAATGAATCTTATCTTTTGATGTTGAGTGCTCCTATTGCTTGTTCAAAATGATTTGTGTACGGACTCTCATCTCATGTGAGAGATCACCATTGTTTCTCATTCGAAGGAACTGTGCTCACCCAAATCTCAATCTTTAATCCATTTCAACCCACAAATGCTTCCAAGGCTGTGCATGATCCGATTCATAATCAAAGAACCGAACTGAATCAAACTAAAAATCAAATCTAAAATAATGGAAATGAATATTTAACAATTTTACTTGTTGTATACAGTTTAATATTGAAAAAGTTAAAATATTATTTCATCTTAGAGATATATTAAAAAAATAAAGAATATGAATATTTTAATTCATCAATATACTTCTTGCTAGTAATTTTGCTTATTTATCTTAACTTTCTATTTCGAATATAATGAATACTATCGTGATGATTTGTTCAATTGAAATGAACATTCACGTCAGTTTCATAAAAATATTAGTGAAAATTCACTAAAAACAAAGAATATTTAATGTCTTTATTCAAATTAATACAAAAGCCTATTAGTATTTTTTTTTGTACACATTGTTTCTTGGTTAATTTGATATCTTATTATATTTTCCACGTGGGTAACCAAGTAATGATAAAATAATCTAACATTGGGAGTCTTATCCGATCACATGCATTTTCAAACTCAGTGTGTACAATGAATCTTATTTTGGATGTAATTCGTTTACAAAACAGTTTTTCGCAAAACCTCTAATCGGAGCTTCTGCTTTTATGTTATACAAAAAATGTTTGGCTTTAACCGAACTTTTAGAGGTATTTGACCCTGCTTCACCTTTTGAATCCGAAAAGTACTTCTAAAAACCGGACCAAACATAGAATATATGGGCTGAGTGGCTTTTACTCATTTAGCTATCCGATCCATATTACTCGATTTGAATAATACGATATTCCGATTAATTACTTGAATATTAATTAATTACTGTTTGACAATTTTTTCCAAACCTCTGTGATGGATGAACCTTGAAATTGGAGTGGCACAAAAAGTGTTAAGTACTAATTAACTAATACCAGTCGAAGAGCAGTAATAATTATTTATGCTCAAGTTTTATCCTCCTTCCAGTATTATAGTTCCTTCCAGTAATATAGTTCCGAATTCTGATGCCTTTTTATTTTGCCCACAGGAAAAATGAAATAAGATGGTTCCGGGAGGGAATCTCCTTATATTGTTTGGGAGGATTTAATCAGAACAACCCAGTACATAAAAGGCAACAACTGTGCCCACTGAGTAATTATTTTTTTTAGAAACCACTGATATGATTCATTATAATCAAGAATCAACTGCCTCAAAGGCTACAACGTCAGCTACCCTTTTTGGTAGAACATTACAATGAAAATTACAACTGACTCTACCACATCGGGCCAATTTCTTTCTACTTCACTAGTCTGACCCCATAGAGAATAGCGATTCCTCCTTTTGGCCTCACTTGACATAATTCTTCAGGGGTTTAACTCCTGCATAGACACACCAAAAATAGCGTCATTCACAATACAGGAAACAAAGTCAGATGGAAGCTTGGGACCACAACAAAGCATACAAATCCTACTTTGGGTACTCATCTGGATAATGTTCTTCTCGCATGTAAGATTCCATCCTTCCCTTCACACTCCCCATGGCAACGACGTGCACATATAATGAAAGAAAATCGACAAATCAAACAAATGATATTCATAAAGCAACATATAAAAAATGAAATTTTTTTAAAGTATATGGTCCAGGTTGAAATACTTCCGCAGACCACATATTACTATCATACACTTTCTTGAAGGGTTCAGGAATAAAGGATACCGTAGTTCCAATGGTACATATTCAAGCTAAATAGTAATGGGGCATTCCTATGAATGAAGCACTCATACATAGCTGCAATACATTCTAGAATTACTATATCATCTACTCTAGTACCCCTCAAGAAAGCGTATGACAGCAATCACATTATCTGCGCAAGCCTCACCAAATATTTAGCATATACATGTGTTCTCAAATGAACATTTGAAACTGGAAGGAAATAAAATGATACCATCAAAATTGTGATAGAACCAGAGGTACATAAACTATCTCCCGAATCCAGCAGTGGCCTTCACAACTCAGCAAGCTATGAATTTTCTAAGTTGAGGGATTCGGACCAACAAAGAAACAACAGACGAAACAACATTAGAACGAAACCAACCTTAAATCTTACAAATCTCCTACAGCCTTTGCGAGTTTCTTCCAAAATTTAGGAGTTAAGTGGGCGGAAAAGAACCACCAGATGGAATATGGTTCCAAAATATTTATTATGAACACTCCAACTACATCTGATGTTCTTCTCCGCCCTTTGTAGACACATCTACATGTTGGGACTGGCCGCCGAACTGCCGCCAACACAACCTCATAAAAAATAAAAGAAGATCAATAAAATGGATTGGATTAGGTAACTAGTCTCCAAACTCAGTTATTAGCTAACACACATGAGAGAAAAACTGAGATTTGGAATCAAATTAATACAAACCGTGTCAACAAGCTACGAAGCCAGATATACTTACAAGTTTACAGAACGAACGTTATGAAAAACCGAACTCCATCTGATGACCTTCTGCGCTGTCCTTACAAGTTTACATGTTTTCATTCTCACAGTACCATGCCTCTAGCCCAACGCACCCCGGAAACCAAAAAAACAAAAACAAAAACATACGAGGGGATTAGGCTACTGGAGTCAGGCCTTCATTAGCTACCAAGAATAAGATCAAAAATCTATTTGAGTAAAATACGAACCTTCCTCCTTGCAGTTGTCTCCCCATCAATCTCCAAATCGTCACCCATTTCGCGCCAGAGAAGAAGACCCCTCACAACGAAGCGAGAGCCTGGAGGCAAGTAGAGGAAGGAATGAAGAGGTAGGTGGGTAGGATTTTTTTCCCTTTGGGTTCAAGGCGAAAGAGGATTTTTTTCCCTTTGGGTTCAAGGCGAAAGAACAGAAGTGATTGAGAAAAATGGGAGGGGGAATGTTTAATGAGCGACGGCTAGGGTTTCATCTTGGTTATGGTGGAAAGGAGGGAGCAGCTGGATTGGGGAGCATATAAGGGGAAAATGGAATTTAGGGTTTGGATTTCCAAAACCAATGCGCGTGCCGCGTGGGAGAGAAGGGCTGTGAATGGGCTGGGCTTGAGAACACATGGCTAACATGCATTGTTTCCTTTTTTTTCCTACTAACATAACTAGCAGTGAATCCGGCCCGTTGACCGGGAGAGATTAGACCAAAAATATAGATACAATAATAGATTTAATAGATCCTCGAAAATGCATGCAATATCTTTCTATACATAATGTACTTAGAATATAACTAACAATGTAACCTATAATTAGACTCATCAAGCGGTCAATGCACAATTAAATAAATACTGTGATCTGAAAATTTGAGGAAAAAGAACTAACAATCAACATTTTATACATCAACTTATCTATTGAAAATTTGTATCATATTGCTACCTTTTAAATTTTGATAAGTGAAAATTGTAAGGTTAGTAGAGGTGGCCAAGGAATATATTTTACAACTATGTGTAACTCATACAAATATGAAGAAAAATAATGTACGACAACATTATTTTCTTACATTAGTTAGTATTATATTCTAGCAACACATCCTTGAAATAACATTTTTCTTACATAAATTATCAAAATTCATTCATTTATCCTTTATATACAACATATATTATAATTTTCACGTTGATGTGAATGTGATTGTTTTTACTTCATATGAAAACCACCTGTCATCCCAAATTACCAAAAGCCTACAAAAGTACTGATAGACCGTCATTTACACATGTTTTTACCCCCGTTCTTACACCGTTTGAGGTTTTGATTCTCGTGTTTTAGGCCGATTTCACGCTAGGTTGTGTTTGTTTGTGATATTTCAGGTCCTAGTACGTGAATGAAGGCTTAGGAGCGAGTCTGGGGTCGATTGGACGAAGAACGGACGAATGGCGAGCTGTTTGGGGAGTGCACGGGCAGACCAGGGAGGCTGCACGGCCGTGCACTTGAGCCATATGGCCGTGCGCCTCATGCCGAGGCCATGCACGGACACAATCCAGACTTGCACGGCCGTGCACCTGGCCGTGCAAGAAGCATGAGTTCGACTTAAATGGATACGCTGCGTTTCAGGGTGCACGGCCAGAATGGTGTTGTGCACGGCCGTGCACCTGGCCGTGCAACTCGGGAAAGCCGGTTTTAAAGCCTAATCCGAGCCAAAAGTGAGAGAATCGTGTTTTGAGAGCAAAAACAGAGCCCTAGAGAGAGAAAGTGCGAAGAACACATCCTAGAAGCTGTCCTAGAGCTGGATTTCATCGAATCGAGCCTGGAGATCGTCATAGGAGTGAAAATCATCGTCCCGGAGCAGATTATCCTCATCGTTATGAGTATGACTAATCCGATTCTTG